CCCATGGGCTTTCCTTGACACTCAAAGTTCTGGTCTATCTTTCTCTTTTTACAAGGATTCCACTTCTATTGGATTAAGACCCACCTTTATGACCTCATTTAACCTTAATTACTCCCTTCAGAGGTTCTACCCCAAATATTATCACGTTGTGAGGAGGTATCAACATATGAATAAGGGAGACCATACAATTCAGTTCACAACAAAATATTATAGTAGTTTATAAAAACATTATGATGTTCTTACTTTTGCACAGATATGGTAAAAGCTCACAACTCACAATCTTTTTAGAACTGAGCAATAAGGTGTATCTGGGCGCGGGGGGGGGGGGGGGGGATGGCAGGTATATTTCAAGCATGACTGAAAAAAATGACAAAATAAAGACAAATGTCTAAGTCTATTCTGGTAAGACCAGTTTAGGTTAGATTTGGAAGGAAGGCTTCTTAACGTAGTAGAACTGGGCAACTCAGTAGACTGAAGACAAATACACTGATTCATTCATTTGTAAGTGGTACCTAAAGCCATGAGAATGGATACCATTGAAAGAACTTATGAAGTGAGGTCTAAAGGCTGATTTTATTTTACCAAATTTTCCCCATCTCTATCTCTTTCTCTTGAAGCTGGAAGAATGATCGAAGATGGTTAATTCAGACCATTTTATCCCCTAACTGGTTACCTACAAAAATAAAGAAGTGTTTGAACTTAGCATAAGATCCCCAAGTTCTCTCTAGCTTATTATTTCCTACTTCATAATTCAATTTCAGTAACCTTAAATAGCTGAGATTCTAATGCTCACTTGTTATTTTTCCAGAGATTTCTTATTTGCTCCCACTGTGCTATCAATAAGCAATGCTTACTGTGTTCAAATGTTGCTGCTTGTTGGGAGCCATTCTGTCCTCCCAGCTGCCAACAGAGTAACATGACCTTGACTGTACTTTCTGTGTTGTATTTTTGTCTATCTTCCTCAACATGAACACCTTGTGTCTGAGAAGAACTACCCCTTATGAAGACTAACCTCACACCAGCTTTTAAGGTAGTTATCATCTGCATTTGTCCTCATATCCTTAGTACCCACCAGTAGTGTCTGGAATAAGATGGCAATTATTTGCAGACCTTTGACTTCAACAACATAAATAACTGTGACATCAGATCTTCCTAGGATTCATATTTTTTAGGAAAACAAATACAAGACCCCAATAAAATAGGAGAACAGAAACTAAAAGAAAAATGTTTAAAACTCAATGATAGAAATATAAACTGCTACAATAAGTTAGAATACTTCATCTTAGTAATTTCCATGCAGATGTTTAATAGAGAAGGCTGGCAAAAGTCAGATTTTTTAAGAAAGAATCAATAGATATTTACTCAAATATTGAGTACATGAACTGTGAAGAAATTTAACAACATTTTTTGCTCTGGATATGAAGTCAACAGTAAGAGTGGTGTTTCTAAACAACAATGTACCGTCACAACAAGAAATCAAGAAAACAATTCCATTAGTAGGTACAAAAAATAAACTATGAATCAAATTAAAACATCACTAAGACACCTTACTGTGGCTGGGTTTTGACATCTGGTAAGTTTTGATCTTACAAGCCATTTAATATTTTGTACATTTATGTATAGTGAAGGTTCAGCTTGTAAGTCACTCATAAATTAATGTTTAATGAAATCATTTGCTTGGAGATTGTATATTCCTATTCATCTGAATTCTTTATATTTGACTTTGCCCTGTATGCTCCAAAGTCACTGACAGAAATATCAGGCCTAATGTCTGATACATATTTCTATCCTATGAACAAGTAAGGACAAGGTAGTTTACTTCCTTATACTTAGCCTTCAGAAAAGTCATCCTTCTCCAGGCCAGCAAAATCTATTATGACAAACACTGTTTACTTTTATTGCAATTAATACTTTGGGAAATCAAATTTCATAGAAACCACCCAAATCAAAACTTTCAGGCTATAAAAAGCTACCACATGAATTTTGATATGAGGCAAAAGATTAAAAAGAAGTAAAACTATTATGTGACAATTTACAGTTAAGAGTTTAGACCTAAGTTGAGGTCATTCACGCTACGAGAAATAGCCAAACCTTTAGGAGATCTCTGAAATCAGGAAGAAATCTTTAATTTTTCTCAGTTTGTCACACTGATGGAGCTCTAATACATGCATTATCCTTGGGGAAAAGACCTTAAAAAGCAAGCATTGTGGCCAGGCATTGGTGGCTAATGCCTATAATCCTACTCAGAAGACTGAAATCTGGGGATCATGGTTGGAATCCAGCCTTGGCAAAAAGTCTGTGAGATTCTTACCTCCAATTAACCAGCAAAAAGCCAGAACTGGATCTGTGGTTCAAGTGGTAGACCTCTAGCCTTGAGCAAAAAAAAAAAAACACTCAGGGACAGAGTCCAGATCCTGATTTCAAGCCCTGGTACTAACAGCATATGCATGCATGTGTATGTGTACACACACACACACACACACACACACACACACACACACACACACACACACACACACACGGGGTTAGAACTCGTGTATGTGTACACACACACACACACACACACACACACACACACACACACACGGGGTTAGAACTCAGGGTCTTGTGTTTGCTGGACAGGTACTCACATCTCCACCCTTAAAAGATTATTTTAAAGAGATTTCTTACAACTATGAATTGTTAAAAACATTTTCTGTTCATCAAGACAAGCTGGCAGGCAGGAAGGTCTGAAAAGGTCAAGGTTCAGTGGGAATCCACAGATGGAACAAGGTAACATTTTATATAACTAATATATACATATAGAATTTTCTGTGTACACACTGAGATCTATAGATTCAAGTATAAACAAGCTTTAATTTCTACTTTTACACTAACCTACAGCCAGACCTTATCTGAACCTCAGAACAGATATTTAAGAGTGTGCAATTCAGTCATGAGGGCTGTCCTGAGCAAAGAAGCAAGTTGAACCACATCCTTGCTTCTGCCTAATTGACAGTAGTATATGCCAGACACTCACTCCAAGTTGTGACAAATAAAAATTTCTCCAGACGTTGTTGAAGTGCATGGTGGGGGAGGGGGATCAATAACTGAAAACACTCACAGATAAATGTTATGACCAAAATCTCCAGGTAAAGGTTTCCATGTTATTTTTTTCCTATTTTCTAGGAAAAAAATTATCTGAAATCTAAGAAATTAGATGGTTACTACTACAATTACTTTGCCCATCTATTGCTCCACTAAATGTAAAAGTAAAAAAATCCAGCAATTGTTATGTTCAGCTGGTTTCTTAAGATTAACAACATAAAATACATTTATTAAAATTAAGTGCTCTTAGAACCAAGACTATATAAAAGATAGCTTTTGAAATAAGTCTCAAGGGGAAATTTATTCAACACAAGAACAGAACTATACTGACAGCCCTATGCTCATTTTCCCTTTCAAACCCTATCTCTTGACCTAAACAGCAACTGAAATCACCAATAGAGAGGAAGGGGAACACAAACATCAATACCCTGGGATTCAGTTTATTTTCTGCAGTTCTTTGGATGAGTAATGCTAAAATTAACTTAGTTTCTGAAATGCTACAGGATAGAAAGAACTGAATACAAAAATTAAGAAATTTAGATCAAAGTAAAATATTCATTAAAGAATACAAATAACTGAATAGACTATACTTTCAAATCTCAATAGACTGATGTAATTGTTTATATATAGACATAACAAAGTATGAAACAGAAAGCAAAACTCGCAACTTCTAGTTCATATTTTTTTCAAATTAGTTGTGGGGCTTGAACTCAAGGCCTGGGAATTGTCTCTGAGCTCTTTCGCTCAAGGCTAACATTCTAGCATTTGGAGCCACAGCAACACTCCCAGTTTTCCGGTGGTTAAATGGAGATAAGAGTCTCAGGGACATTCTTGCTTGGGCTGGCTTTGAACTGTGATTCTCAGATCTCAGCCTTCTGAGTAGCTAGGATTACGGGTGTGAGCCACCACTTCCCAATGAGTTCATACTTTTATTTATTTATTTTTGGATCCAGTCGTGGGGCCTGAACTCTGGGTCTGGGCACTGTCCCTCAGCTCTTCAGCTCAAGGCTAGCGCTCTACCACTTGAGCCACAGCGCCACTTCCAGCTTTTTTCTTTTGCTTATGTGGTGCTGAGGAATCAAACCCAGGGCCTCATGTATGCAAGGCAAGCGCTCTACCACTGAGCCACCTTCCCAGCCCAAGTTCATACTTTTAAAAGAATCTCTTTGTTAAACTTGCATATGTTTAAAATAGATAAAAGTACAAAAAAATTCTGGAAGAACTGTCATCAAAAATATAATGGAGGTATTTTCCCTTTTGTATCTGAATCCTCTATTTCTTGTATCATTAATACTTTTTAAAATCCCAAGTAAATTCTTTTTGAATTCCCATTTTCTGTCAAATTTATCCTTTTACATTCTATCAGTTAAGATCTTTGGCAATTGCTGACAGTAAATTAATTTTCTTGAGTTTAACCTCAAACCATCTTGAACTTTTACTACAGTACATTTTGGTATAGGCATTTGTTATCAACCAGAGTTAAAATGTGACCTCTGACAATCTTGAATTTAGATGAAAAGTATGCATGAAAAAAATCAACTCTGTCTTACAAGGTTTTAAAGTTAGAAAGTGCTCTATGAAGTATAAGACAGACCACAGTTCTTACCATTCAATTTCCTGCTTTAGCAAGAACTATTAAATTGCTTTTGTAGAGGGTACACATTTACATTTTTTAACTGTCATTTTCATATTCAGCAAGTCAATTCATATTTAAATTAATATGAATTAGACAAAGCTAAATTTAAGTAACATTGAAAGATGTCAAGTGTTTAACCTAGTAAAAACGAGACTACATTTCAATCAACAACACACCATCTAAAAACAAAATAGTATAACTCTAATCATGAGTTTCTCATTATACTTTGTAGCTCCTAAATATTCAGAATAAATGTAACATTCCATTAATACTATAATCCATGAAAAGAGTATATTTTATTGGTTTTTATTCATACATGTTAAGTTTCAACTTTCAATAATAAATTCAATAAATTTGATTCCTTAATCATAAAAACTTGCTGTACATGTATTTACATATTGCCACGGTCAACAGCCATACAAAACATCACAAGTTAACTGACTGCGCATCAGACCTTCACACAAGAGGTGGGAGCTAATTAAGAAACATACATTCCAAGATTAAACTGTAAGTATGCACAGTGCACACGGCACTGTTCATTAATGTCATATTTTCCTCTGAAAGAGGCATTCTCAAGCCTTAGTCACAATACACCACCATTTGCTATTCACATTAAAACCAGCCTTTAAACTCTGTAATAGTAACCAACTAAATTTCAAGAAGCAAAACACAACCAGAATTGGGAATGGGATTAAAATCCTCTAGCTTCTTGCTGTGCTCTAAGCTTCCACCTATCAAGCCACTGTGGGGAGTGTCAAGAATAATGTAAAACAATCTTCCATCCATGAGGCCATCTACTTTCCTTCCGGTTATCACCACCTCTCGGGAGTGCAAAGGGAGCCCTATGATGCAGAATTTGTGATGATTTTGGCAGTTCTTGAATGACCAGTGCTATGAGTTGTAGAGATTGAACTAGCAGTTGAGCTCCTCCTATACTTGACTGCAAAATCTTAGTCGCTTGTTTTAAAGCCCTCTTCCTATGACAACAGACCTTAGTCACATACATTTATTTTTGCTGTGCACATACTATCATAAGATGGGAGAAAGGCAAAAAAAACTGAAATCTTTCAGAACTTAGGTTATATCTCAATGGATAATTTGACTAGATTCATTTTAACAAACATTAAATCTCTTCAATTAGAACCATTCACTTGAATTCTTTAAAACTATAGACTCCAGAACGTTTCTAAATGGCACTTACATCATCAAGCCAATCAGAGGCACAAGGTGTCATAAATTAACCTTATTCCCCCCCTGCAAAAGAAATTCAATAGGATATGGATCACATTACAGGGGAAAGAAGCAGGAAATTCTCAAATAAAGTTGTTATAATTTCACACAAAATTTTGGCAATGAATTCAATAAGACACTACAAAAAGTTGTACAAACAACTGAATTGTGAAGTAATGTCACTGGACCAAAATTTAGTTTAATCATTTTTATTTCAAGTATGTTTTAAAAATCATAAATGGGGTTTTGTAATTCAAAGTTGAAACATTTTTTCTTCATCACTTTAGAATCTGGCAAGCAATTCCAGACCATGCTTTCTATATCCAGCCTTCCATTTTTATTTTGCAGACTTCTGAGACCTAGTATTTAAGCTAATCCATTCTAAATGTACATAAGCACTGTACACTTCTTGATAATTGTTTTTGGAAAAACGTCCATTAAATACAAATAGTTTCTGTTCCAGGATCAGCAATGAGGGAATAGTATTAAAACACTTATCAAGAAATCACTTATTCATTTGAAAAATAACAGAACCAGTGCTGTTCTCTGCCATGAAAGAGAACATGGAAAATTAAATTATTTTCACAGACTCTGGTAATACTTTTATATCCTATACAGGCCTCAAATCGTACTTATCTTTTATACTAAATTACCATTGGGATTTAGTGAATAAAAATCCCAAGTGTTATTCCAAAGAGGAACCAGTTACTTTAGGGCAGGTTGGGGAGGGGGGAAGGTAACTTTTGTCAAATGTTTATTTTAAATAGAAACAGTACATGGAAATATTTTTAAAATAACTTTGGGCACTACACCGATACTATTCATTTAAAAAAAATCAAAACTTACTTTCCTCTTTTTAGGAAAATTTTTACCTTGACTTTTAAGATTATGACATTTGCCCTATTGATTTGATTATGACTAATTCAATATTTAAGAATTTAGTAATTAAAATTTTTAATTTTGTATTTCAGTGTATGAGTTCTTTTTCAAATGAGCTTTACCACTCAGAATAGACACCAGAGCAACATTACTAAGAAATGAAATGGACGGACAGCTGAGACAGGTATTCCCTCTGCCTGACAATGAGGACACTCTGAATAACTTCATTTCTCTGAAGCTCCTTAAACTCAGAATGTTTCCATTTAACAAGTCCATATATTATTCTTAAAAATCAAAGTTTGGTCACTACAAAAAGACTGGACAAAAGGTATTCCTTCTTCAACACCAAACAACAACTAAAACAGCTCCAATCATTCCCTCCTCTCCCCACAGAAACAGGGAAGTGGCAGGGGCTGAAGCCTTTAATCTGAAATCTCAGCTCCTAAAACATCGCTGCTATTTTTGTTCCAAGTTGCAGGTTTGTGTATTCTTTCTCCAACACTCCCCCCATTTATAAGTGTATTTCCACACGCGCGCGCACACACATACACACACGCACACACTCATTCACTCTCAAGTAAGACACTTTTTTGTGTTTGTTGATAAATTATGAGGAATATGAACTAGGTGTATACAGGGTTTCATAGGTGCTTTGTAAACATCAGAGTCACTTGAGTCCTTTTCTCCAAAAGCCTGAAATCAAATTACACAACCAGGGATCATTACTTTCCCAGACGCTGTTCACAGGCTGCATACTGACGAAGGGCAGAGAAAAAGTCCTCATAGCTGATGTTTAGGTGGGAAGGCAAAGAGCTGGAAAGAAAGCACAGGGGAAAGGCAATTAGATGATACACTGTAATTTGGGAACTGTGGGCGGGGGGAAGGAGGTGGGGGACCTGAGAATGATGATCAAAAGTGGTTATAAATCTTAAGCAGAATATGCCAAAACAATTCTACTAAAAGACTGTCAAACACTGTGAAACAGTTCAAATAAAAATGAATCTTCCTTTCTTTCCATAAGAGAAAAGCATCTGTAGTGAGTTAAGAGTCATTATCTATCAAAGCAAAAGCCTGAAGTAATAAAAACTAGAGATCTATGAAAGATCTCACACAAACCCACGTTAGGAACTTCATGGTCACTAGTGACTCACAACTGTAATACTACTCAGGAGACTAAGATCCGAAAGACCAAGGTTCAAAACCAGCTGGAGCAGAAAAGTTCATCAAAGTCCACTCCCAATTCACCAGAAAAAAGCCAGACTGGAGCCATAGTTCCAATGGTAAAGCCCCAGGTGAGCAAAAGCAAGCCAAGCCAGTTTGAGGGCTGGAATTCAAACCTCAGTTCTGGCAGAAAACAACAAAATATTGTGGTCAGAATATCTTAACAATTTATTAAGGCCAAGTTGAACACAGGGCAAAGCTAGCTGTATAGCATCCCCACAAACTGAAGCTATATGGTAGGCAACCAACAATGAAATTCAACCCCACCATTTCCAACTGCTCACACAACCAAAGGCTCCTGGACTCCCCCCAATGTTGTCAATAATTATCATGAAAAAAATCTTTAATTCAGCTTAATTGTGAGGCTTGGAAATTCCAGTTAGTGACAAAGGTATACACGGGATCAGATTAGAAGAGTCGTATTCAGCATTCCAGTCAAGTGTAGAGATTGCTGTCTGCAACTACACAGGTCTTAAGTAGCATATAGTCCAAGTCTAGAGTGAGCAAAAGTGTGAAACCCTATCTGAGAAATAACCTACAGCAAAAGGTAGTAAGTACCCAACTAGAAAGCATAAGCCTTGAACCTAAGCAAAAAACAAAGAAGACTAAACCTGCCAACCTACCATGAAACAACTCCTACTATAACTTCTAGTTAGTATGCCTTTCACTATCCTTCCTCTGACTGCTAGAAACTTAGAATCAAGCCACCTACTTCCTAATTCCTATTCATCTCGTAATAACATCAAATAACATGTCTTATCTCTGCTATCACTCCTATCTTTGGGTGGGAAGGCAGTTCACCGGAATAAACTCAGGGTCTCCTTTCTTGCTAGGCAGCTGCTCTAATACTTGAGCTTAAGCCTCCAGGTCTGTTTGGAATATTTTTGAAACAGGGTCTTACATTTTTCCCAGGCTGGTCTGGATCACAATCTTCCTGATCTCATCCTCCCGCACGGAGATGAGAGATACCCAACACCGAGCCCAGTCTTTTATTGGTTGAGATAGGATCTTGCATACTTTTTGCTCAGGCTGGCCTTAAACCATAAACTCCTGGTTTCCAAAGTAGTTAGGATTACAGGCATATGCCAATTCACACAGCTATTGTTTTAGAACAGGGGGAGGGGTATCTCAAAAATATTTTGCATACACTGGCCTTTAACCACAAGCCTCCTCATCTCTTCCTTCCAAGTAGTAGGACTGAGTATATGCTAATCCTTTTGTCTTATTCACTCCACTCAAATACTATCCTCAATGGACGCTCATAATAACATTGTTACTGCTAAGCTTCCTTCAAATGTCCTCAAAGCCTCATCTCTCATCATTCTTCTAGAAGCACTGAGTGACATTACACACCTCACCCCTTCCCGCCTCTGATATCTTGCTATTACAGTCTGTTGATCAAGGCCCTACCCTCTACTTCTCCATCAATGACTGGGGCATCACGGTGCTCTATCTGGTAGAGTATAGACAAACACCAAGCAGAACTCAATGTAACATGGCAGACAGATGAACATGGGTCCGTGGGAAAGCTAGTTCTCCCAATGCTAGTTCTCTGTCACTTTTTTATTTTTTTTGGGGGGGGGGAAGGGGTCTGGTCCTGGGGCCTGAACTCTGGGCCTGGGCGCTGTCCCTCAGCTCTTCAGCTCAAGGCTAGTGCTCTACCACTTGAGCCACAGCGCCACTTCTGGCTTTTTTTCTTTTTGCTTATGTGGTGCTGAGGAATCGAACCCAGGGCCTCATGCATGCAAGGCAAGCGCTCTACCACTGAGCCACCTTCCCAGCCCTTCTGTCACTTCTTTAAATCCTCAATGCCACAATAAAATGTCCATTTTATAAATACAGATTTAAAAATCTTATCTGTTCTAAAACACATTCTTCCCTCCCCACTTCGAGTGAACTTCCCTCAAGTTCACAAGCTGACAGATGATGCCATTCTTGGAGCCCACCTGGAGGCACCTGAAATGACCAGTGAATCCTTAACAAAGGCAAGAGACACACACCTCCTCTAAGGACCCCCAGAGTTTGGAGACTGTCATTCCACTTTATTTCAAGCTCCAACAGGTCTTGTCCCGATCTCTTCCCCTGTACAATGATTTACAGCTCTTCCCTTTTCTAACATATTACATCTCTTCTGCCTCTTTATATAGCTTTTCCCTCCTTTCAGTTTCTACATTTCTTGAAGGACCCCTCTGTATACTTTAATGACCTCAAATAAATATGTTCATCTCTCCTGTTACAGACAATGGCTCAAAATCACTCACATCCCCCCTTCAAACTTCAATCTCCCTCCACTTCATTTCCTTTCAGTAACAATATTCTTCACCCCATAACTTAGGCTTTAAAAAAGTCATTTATTCTCTAAGTTTTTCTACAATTAGTAAAGTATAGGCATGCAATCATAATAAATACTCTTCTAACAGACAATCCTAAGGGGACTTTCAGAGAAAGGTTGCACGAGAGGCATGGTTCAAGTGGTAAGGTACCAGCCAACAGTCCAAAGCCTTATGCTCAAATCCCAGTACCAGAAGAAAACAGTTTGGCAAATGTGGTTTTAATAAACAATTTCATTCTTTTCACTATATTTTTTCTTAACTTACAGTGATGATCTCTTCATTTGTCTTTTTATTTCATCCTTTCTCCAATTCATTTCCAAACAAATCTTCCCAAATATCATTGTTATATTACTCACAGGCTAAACTCTTCCCCACACCCCATCTACTATGAAATGCAGTCTTTATGTTAATATTTAAAACCTTCCAAATTTTGACTATTTCATTTCCTTTCAGACTACTGTCTAACATTCTGCTCTAGTGGGGCCAATTCCCTGTGTCTTTACTACATATTCCAGTTTCCTTTTGTTTCTCTTCCCATCCCTGTGCTTCCCACTGGTATTCTAAATACAAAAAACCTAGGAGTATTATATATTCTTTGGGAGTTCCCTTCAGATTTAGAACAGCAGTGGGCTCAACAATCACTTGCCAAATCAACATCAAGAGTACTTACACAATTTCAGTCAATCTGATTTGCCAGGGAAGAAAACCTAATGTGCTGTCCACAGGACCAAACTTCAATACTAAATCAGGATCAGGGAAACCATTTGAACCTTGGAAATAAAGATACACGCATGAAGTTAATATATACTGCTTGCTGTTAAAAAAAAAAAAGCTGGGAGAAAAAAGCTGAAAGGAAAAATTTGTTAAGTTGGCCTCTGTTTTACAGATCTATTCTCTTCAAAATACTTCTGTCTTTCCCATCCCATTCCTTCCGTATACTTTAATATCTATGTTTACTGCAAATGTGGAAATCTTCTCCTAACTCCATTTAATTGAAATAATTATTTGAGAAAGAAGAAAGTCCAATTCCTCCCCTAAACCCAGTAAATACTCCCTGGTAAGTACCCCCAACATAAGTGCTAAGTTGGCTCCTGGGAAAGGCACTGTTCTTGAGGTATAACTGTTGATTTTAGCCATAGAACCAAATTATTTCAGAAAAGAAAACAACCTATAAAACTACTTGTTCTCGGGACTGGGAAGGTAGCTCAGTGGTAATGCTTGACTTGCATGCATGAGGCCCTGAGTTCATTTCCTCAGAACCACATAAGCAGAAAAAAACCGAAAGTGGCCCTATAGCTCAGGTGGTAGAGCGCTAGCCTTGAGCTGAAGAGCTGAGGGATAGTGCCAAGGCTCAGAGTTCAGGTCCCAGGACTGGCAAAAATTAAAAAAAAAAAACAAAAAACTACTCTCAGAAAAAAATGTATGTAAACTTAATAAAGGGCTATGTAAAATAAAACTATAGGCAATATCATATTATTTTCCCTAAAATTAGTAATAAGGTGTCCATTCTCCCATTCTTTTTTTTTTTTAATTGTGAAAATACCATACAGAGAAGTTACAATTACATGGGCAAGATAATGAGTACATTTCTTATCAGGCATTGTTGCCTCCTCCTTTGTTTCCCCTTTCCATCCCTTCCCATCTCCCCACCCCCCCAACCCCATACCCACCCCCATTCTCCCATTCTTATGCAACATAATGCTAGAATTCCCAGCCAGAGCAATAAGGCATGAGAAAGAAACAAAAGGAGTTCAAATAGGGAAAGACATAAAATTATCATGATTTTGACTCCTATCTCTCACTTTATAACTTCAAATTAGACATGAAATCTAAGTCTAATACTTGAAAACATGGAGGAAACTCTGTAAACTAGAGACAAACGTAATAATTTTCTAAACAGAACTACAGTGGGGCACCCATGGCTCAGCTGAGCACCAAATGCTTACACCTACAAACCTATGTACTGAGGAGGCTAAAATCTGAGGATCATGGTTGAAAGCCAGGAAAGTCTAGAAGATTTCTAGCTCAATAAGCTACAAAAGAGATGCCAGAAGTAAAGCTGTGGCTCAAGTAGTTGCCTTGAGCAAAAGAAGCTCAAGGATAGCATCTAGGCCCTGAGTTCAAGTCCTAGGACCAGCACTAAATAAATAAGTAACAAGAATTGGCAAATAAGGCAGTGTCTACATAGTACAAGAAATATCTACCAAAACCAACCCACAGAATGAGAGAAAACCTTCACCATCTATTCAACAGATAAAAGGATTAATATACAGATATATAAAGAGCAAAAAAACAAAACAAAAACTCTAGGGTGTGGGCACAGTGAGAACAGTGAGGGTTAACTGAGGATGAGTGAGGATGAATTGCATGTATGAAAACACAACAATGACACTTGCTGAAATTATCTTAAGAAGGGGAGCAGAATGAAAAAAGAAGTGACAGAAGAGGTGAGGTTGATCAGTGTACCTTGTTTTCATGAATGGAGATGTCTCAATGAAACCCTATCCTTGCCTCAGACTTTCCAGCTAAGTATCCAGAAAAACCAACCCCTAGATAAGTGGTACAAATGTTTTCAGTGTTCCCTAAAGAAAGCCCAAGTAATTTGAAGGGAGAATAAGGACTATTCCCAATCTGACAAGCATGTGGCTATTTTTATCTATGTTATGAACTGAGTTCCCCATGAGAAATGGATGTGGGTATTTCAACTGTTTAAAAACAAAGTTAAAGGGTCACTAGTATAACAGATGTGGTGTGATAATCCAAGGCTTCTCACATCTTCAACCTACCAACAAATTGTTTTCCAAACCATCTCAACAGAACCCAGATTTTTTTCACCATGAAGTAAGCAGACTGAGCTTGGAGGATGTGATATGGCTCAGTGGTAGTAGATGTTTGTCTAAAATGTACAAAGTCTTGGGTTCAATGTTCAGTACAAGGAAGAAAACAAGAAAGAAAATTTTTTTTAAAGCAGCAGCACAGAGCCAAGTTATGGAAACAGCCCAAATACCCTATAATACAAGCATGGATCAAAAAAATGTAGTACTTATACAAATTCCAAGAAATGGATACAATTTTTGTTGGTGGTGGTGAAGGTGTTATGCTGTTTTTTGCTTTGGATTTTATTGTTTCTGGTACAGCAAAGGTGTGGTGCAGAAAAGGAGAGAAAGAGGGTAAGAGGAAAGGAGAGGGATGGAGGGAGGTATGAGAACAGGAAGGGAAGAACAAATGCAATCATACAATTCAGTATACACTATGTAGAAAATTATCTATGTAACTTATGGGCAGGGATGGAAGGAAGAAACGGGGAAAGTAAAAGAAGGGGTGACAATGTCCAAAAATGAGAAAAGCACTTATTACTTGACTTATGAAGTAGTAGCCCCTCTGTATAATACCTAATCTTATTATAATATATAATATATAATATGTTATTATAATAACATCCCTATTTCCAAGAATACTCATCACTACAAATGTTCAAGAATTCTTTGCTTAACGATTATGACCTCATATAAGTAAACAAACTACATCATTATCTGAAAAGCATTTTCACATTTTTATAGCATTTTCTTTAAATATCAGAACTTTAAGGGAATGACGATAAAAACCAGGCTTTATAGGATCAAAAGAACCTACTAAATATTTTACTTTCGTACTACTATACTCAAGACAAAACTGAAAACACAGTATGACTTACTAAGTAAACTGTCTAACATATCTACATCCAAATCTGTGGCTCTCTTTTGCTGCTTGGCTACAAACTGGCAGAAGTCTTGAGCAGCTCTCACAATATCTGCTTTTCCATCTTCTGGGGACAGCACCTTCACTACCAAATGGCAATTTAAAACTGCAGGGAAACACAAATAAAGTACTTTAAAAAATATATTTTTCCAAGCTTGTTTCACAATCAGTTTTACAAAACAGTTAAGTTCAGACCAAAACAAAAAATACAGTTCTTATGTAAGCCAGAACCACTTAAGTTCTTCAATTTCAATATCAAAGCATACTTAGCTACTTTCCTCTGACAGGACCCATGTATCCCAAATCACATTACCATATGTATTTTTAGACTGCCTTCTTCTCCAAGTCCTCAAAATGACCTTTTATTGTGAATATATTCTTTGCATTGTAAGAATTTTAATTATAGGCTAGCTAACAATTTTCATTCATCTAAAATTCCATCTACAATAATAGTAGTAGAAACATGGAATAAAAGGAATGCATAAGAACGCACGGTCAGTGGAGCTAGGATTCTGATAACAGGTCACTGTCAGAAGTCCAAAATTTTAAGACAGGGCATCCTAGTTACTTGGGAGGTAGAGAGGAGCATAGAGGGTTTGAGGGGTTATGTGGATTAGCGAGACTATATGATGAATGCCTGTAATCATAGCTTGATCCTCCTTGATCAGGAGGTCAAGGACCAATGACAGCCAAGACAGAAAAGCAGAAAACTTCACCTGAAAAAATTAAGAGGTGAGGACACATCTGAAGTGGCAGACAACATGAAGTCCTAAGATCAAACTCCAGTACCACCGCCACCAAAATAAGTAAATGAAACCTAGCTACTCAGGAGGCTGAGATCTGAGGATCACGATCCAAAGCCAGCCCAGGCAGAAAAGTGCGTGAGACTCTGATCTCCAATAAACCACTAGAAAACCAGAAGTGGCGCTGTGGCTCAAGAGGTAGAGCGCTCTCCTTGAGCTGAAGAGCACAGAGCCAGCGCCCAGGCCCAGAGTTCAAGCCCCATGACCAACACACACGCGCACATGCGCGCGCGCGCGCGCGCACGCACGCACGCACGCACGCACGCACACAAAGTAAATGAAAGGCTAAATTTTTACATGAGGTTAAAATTAGACTATTTCAAGTTACCATTACTTCTATCGGCCCTTTATACATACTCATTTAATTTTCTGACTTATATAAGTTCTTTAGATTCTCTTTGTTGACCAAGTTATAAAATCTGACTAATAAAAATTTTAACATGTGTATGTTTACTTTTCTAGAAATACTTTAATAAGAGGAAGAAGGAAGGTAATTAAAAATATTGACAATAGAGACCAAAATGAAAGAAAAATGACTGATAAACCTTGCCCTGAAACATGTCCTCATATGTCACATATTCAATCTTACACTCATGCTTACCTTGATCATCTTTTTCATTACTATTTGCAAACTCCGTTGAGTATTTGGAACAATCTAGACCCAGAAGTTCCTGCTGCTGTTTTAAAATTTCATCCATCAATCTGGAATTATTTCTTTTGAAAATTCCTAAGAAAGAAAATTAAAAGCAAGTAAATCATAAATAGGTAATTTAACAGCTTTTTAATGATTAACAGATGCTTATGAATACAACACTAGATCCATAACTTAACAAGCCTCAAATGAAAAAATAATGACTAAACAAATGAAAATCTGAAAAATAAGGAAACAACACAAGTTAGGTCGAGTCTGGCTTCAGGCTACAGCCCAAAAAGGGCAAGGGTTAACTACTTGGTAGACTACTGACTATGACAGAAACTTAGACCTTCAAAAATTTTCATTCATAGGAAACTTATATTTACAGACTAAGAAACAGGGATCTAATGTCCTTAAGGGCTTATCCAAAAAATTCATTTCTGACTTCAGTCTAACATTTTTCTCTACAAAATTTTTATGTGTATTAAATACTGCCTCGATTTTATTAGTTTAGGCTTAAGAAGAAATGACATGAATTATTTTTAAGTTGAAGAGACAAAGTATTAAGACCAAATTTCTGAAAATTCAAACAAATCACAGAAACCAACTACCTGAAGCAGATTTTGATCCCCCAACCATACAAAGTAGCTTAGTATCACCAGGTTGCTGAGAAAAACAAAGGAACTATTTGACAAACATTCAACACAAATTTATAGAGCTCTAATTGGAAAAAAAAAAAAAAACAGCCACTGCTTTTTTGTTTATCATATGTTTCTACTTTGTGCTCATATAGGACTTTAAATTAGTTCAGTGCATGAGAGAAGAGTGCACTTGTGTAAATTTTGTGTAAAAAGAGACAGAATCAGCTGCATACAAATGCCAATCTGGTCATATATATGTGTATATCTCTTGGATGGACAAAGGTTTGTCCAAAGAAGACTCGAGCTGAGGTGAACTCAAAGTCCAAGAAAAGAAAATGGATAAGACATTATATACAGAAAATGCTTAAGATAAAGCATAGTTTAGAATATTGAGAGACAACTGTTTATGACACAAAGGATATGAGAGGAGAAGTGAGCGAATAGTTATAGTTTTTATTTCACACTCTTAACAAACAGGTTACCCACAATTTATGAGCAACATGGAAATGTATGGAAACTTAATCCTCAGTTGAATGTTCTTAATATCAGAATAAGAAAAGATAGGCAGTAAACTACTGTAGGATTCCATGTGTAAGCTGGTGAGACCATGGAAAGGGGAGACTTACCACAAAGGAAGAACTGAGAAGAAAATGGTACATGACTTACTCAGAAGTGAATGTGTAATATCCATAGCTTTTTATCCTTGGTAGCAGAAAAGGGTAACATTTTTAAAAAGTGATTGTTTGATTTAAATTTGCAAAAAGAACTGGTTAGAAGGAGAATGTAAACTCAAATTTAAACAATAATGGAATAGTTAGGGAGTTCTTGTAAAAGCGATTAGAAGACCCACCCACCACCACCAAAGAATGACTTATAGTCTTACTTCTTTCTGTAGTCCTGTTTCTTACTCATCAGTTTCCCAAAAGGCATCCTCCATACACTAAGGCTCAATGTTTAACCTAATAAGCTGGCACCAAGTACCAATCAACAACAAAACATCAAAAGTTATATCAGTAGGTGAAAAAAAAGTTTCCAGAAACCTCTTCACAATAAAAACAGCCATTTGTTGATTACAGACAAGCAGAAAATCTGTTAAAATGGAAGCATATTACATACAGACACAGAATCAATCTTTTTTTAAAGGTATTTTTAAGGTATTTTGGTCTTGGCTGATGTATGTAAAAAGTTAAAAGTTTTAAGGGGGGCTGGGAAGGTGGCTCAGTGGTAGAGCGCTTGCCTTGCATGCCTGAGGTCCTGGGTTCGATTCCTCGGCACCACATAAGCAAAAAGAAAAAAGCTGGAATTGGCGCTGTGGCTCAAGTGGTAAAACGCTAGCCTTGAGCTGAAGAGCTGAGGGACAGCGCCCAGGCCCAGAGTTCAGGCCCCACGACTGGACCCCCTCCCCTAAAAAAAGTTTTAAGTTATAGTTTCTGCTAAGTGCTTAGAAAAACAAAATAGATTGTGTCCACAATGATTCCTAACCGATCACAGAAATCTGACAATACTTAGGTCATGCATAAACACTATTACACCTCACAGTTTTCCTTAGCCAAGCCATACACAAACATGCTTCACGTGATACACAAGAAATACAAGATGTAAGAGTGGCTTTAATAGGAAACATCTCTAGAAGTAGCATGGTATACGTACAGATTATTTTTCTCATCATAATCCATCCTATTTGCTCTTCAAAACTTTAACACCAAAATGATTAAGGAAATTATCACAAGCATTTTATGTAAAAAGAAGTCGGGAGAGAAATAGAGGAGGTGAGATTGACTGGAATACATTGTAAATATATAGAGAAAGGTGACAATGAAATTCCCCATCCTCTGTATAAGCTAAATTTCTTTTAATTTGAGACCATTTCCATTCAGAAATAACTGACTTAAGGAAAAAACATTTGATGTGCTTTACAAAATTATGTAACATTAAGATTTCAGAATTTATTTTATTCTTTTTATAGATAGGAAACAGAGTAAGGAAAATAAACCATTTGTCCTTAAGTATCTATGAGTTTAACGGGAAACTTAGGTCAACTGAATTTACTTAGTATTTGTTAACTTTTTTTTTTTTTTTGGAGGGGGGGAGGGTCCGGTCGTGGGGCCTGAACTCTGGGCCTGGGCGCTGTCCCTCAGCTCTTCAGCTCAAGGCTAGCGCTCTACCACTTGAGCCACAGCGCCATTTCCGGCTTTTTTCTTTTTGCTTATGTGGTGCTGAGGAATCGAACCCAGGGCCTCAGGCATGCAAGGCAAGCGCTCTACCACTGAGCCACCTTCCCAGCCCCTTTGTTGACTTTTTGTAACAATGCTAAACTTACTATTGTACTATTAATTTGAATCTTTCTCTAAATGAACCCAAATAAAATGGATCTAGTTTTTAATGAGTATAGTCTTTTAAAACAACTAGAAGTACAACTCTTTTATTCCCTCGCCTTACTTTTCTTACTTTCTTATCTATAGCTCTTTCAGTCATGGGTCTTCAACTCTGGGCCTCAGCTCTTCAGCTCAAGGCTACAGCTCTAACACTTGAGCCACAAAGCCACTTCCGGTTTTCTGTCAATTGGAGATCAGAGTCTCACGGACTTTACTGCTCTGGCTGGCTTTTGAGTCGAGATCTTCAGATCTCAGCCTCCAGAGTAGTTAGGATTACAGGTGTGAGCCACCGAGGCCCAGCTATAGCTCATTCTTAAAAATGCTTTTGAAGAGATTTCACAGAGCCAACAGAACATGTATTTTAAATACTTAAGAATAACCTGAACCGCAGGAATGGAGGGAAGAAGGGAGTGCAAATATAGTCATTAGATTCAATGTACGTTATGTTAAAAATAAACTATGTAGCTGGGCGCTGGTGGCTCAGGCCTGTAATCCTAGCTACTCAGAAGGCTGAGATCTGAGGATCTTGATTCAAAGCCAGCCCGGGCAGGAAATGTCTGTGAGATTCCAATTAACCACCAGAAAACCAGAAGTGGCGCTGTGGCTCAAGTGGTAGAGCTCTAGCCTTGAGCTGAAGAGATGAGGGACAGTGCCCAGTCCCAGAGTTCAAGCCCAATGAGCAATAAATAAATAAATAAATAAACTATGTAACTTGAGGGCAGAGAAGGGAGGGGAGAAAGGGAGAAAAGGGGTGACAATGACCAAGAATCATTATACTCATAACTCAACTAATGGAATCATAAACACGTTGTACAATTACATCATCATCATCATAATGAGGAGAAGTAGAAGAAGACAACAATGAGGAAGGAGAAGGACGAGAAGGAAAAGCAGCAGCAGAGAAGCCAGGCATCTGTGGCTATTAAAAAAAAGAAAGAAAAGAGTAACCTTGGAACCAAAGGCTAGTTTCAGCAATAGTTATTTAAGAAATTTTTATAGTTTTGTTTCTTAACAACTACCTCATGGAGCCTCAAATTCCCAAATGTGAACAATTGCAAATGGGAAAGATAAATGAAAAGTCACTCCTGAGTATATACACGCGTGCATGCACATGCATGCGCGTCCAAAGTCTCTTAACTTCCATGAAATAAATTATCATTCTAAAGAGCTGCAAATGTTTACAAAAAAAAAAGCATACAAATGTTTCTTGATATTCCTTGACAAATATTAACTATGTACTTTGGGGCCCAAAAGTAGGCTTCTTTACTATATTCTACGAAATTTTCTAAGCACATTTTTAAAGTGGCTTGCACCTATCATCCTATCTACTCACATGGCTAGCCAACATGACAGACAAATCCAAGACATTCTTATTAACCAGCAAAAAGTCAGAACTGGAGGCATGGCCCCAGCCATGGGACGGGACCAGGGGAGGCAAGTGAGAGCGAAAGGCCCTTAGTACTACCACCAGAAAAGAAAATGGAAAGAAATGTTTTAAATTGTAGTATTGGATAAGACAATATTAGTATGTTCCCTAGACTTGCATGAGAACATACTGCAGTGTCCCAAAGCTTGTCAATTATAACAGTTTCAACTTACTAATATTGCCCAGTATGCATTCCAACTTTTTAAAACTTTTTTCCACTTAAATAACATGTATCCTTCCTTGTAGCCAGTCAATGGTTACTTTACGTTGTATTATTTAGCAACAAAAATGAATAAAAATTTCTGACTTTGTTCATTTCTGAAGATAAAAAAGTCAAAAGAATTTCCAGGGCTAGGGACATAGGTCAGCGGTAGACCATTTCCCTAACAAGTCTAGGCCCTGGATTCAATCCTCAAAACCAGTTTTTTGGGGGAAAATACTGTGTTCAATAAATTATATATTTAGAATACAGTCTGAGTTATGAAACAGATAAGGGTTGGAAATATCAAACTTCCTGTCAGCACACAGATGATACTTAAAATCATGGGAGACTGTCTGGGATAGGGGTCAGCAAGCTGTTAAGGGAATGCAGAAAGCCAGAAGCAGGGGTTTATAGCTACTCCCAAGCTACATTGGCAGAGTTGAGCAGAA